CTCTCTTTAGGTCTTGCTGGGTTATAACAATCCTCTAAATTCAACAAGCGTGTTGCCATCCATTTAAACTCCTGAATTTCGTCTACATCATCAGCACTCTGATTGGCTAGGGTGAAGGTCATTTCATCCATTAAGATTTAGATCCTGTGGAGAGCCTGAAGATGAAATTATTGTGATGTCAACAAGGAAAGTGCACTTCAGGGTTCTTCAGATAAGAGCAGTGCTGTGAATTGTGATGGATGGATGATTTATTAAACAATATTTAATGTAATACTGATCACTGATATTAAGAAAAGATGCCTGTGGTTAATGGTGAAAAAATGTAGGGAGATAAAATAAGCTAAATCTATTTAAAGGGGTCATATGATGCGATTTCAATTTTTCCTTTCTCTTTGGAGTGTTACAAGCTCTTGGTGCATAAAGAAGATCTGTACAGTTGCAAAGACTAAAGTCTCAAATCCAAAGAGATATTCTTTATAAAAGTTAAGAGTCAACCACGCCTACCTAAAACGAATAATCAGTAATTATGTCCCCACTGGATGCGAACAAATGCCTCGTTTATAATGGGTTTTACTGGTTTTGTCGCGCCAGGACACGGCATCACAGTATGGTAAGGGGCGTAACATATTCCGTCACACGCTGCTGAATACCCACATACTTATAACAAACACTTCTAAAGCCTGAGAAATGTGGCATATTTAATGTTTAATATGTGCTCTTATTAAACCAGAGGAGATTGTGATTATTAAGACCTACAAAGTAACACAAACAGTGTCAAATCCTGAGTTTGTCCAATCCACTGATAATAATGGATATCTACAGAAGCCCAAACCCCCTCCAAACATCACTCAGTGAGATATTTAACCATGCATGCCTTTGGAAGGCTTTCGACTTTTAAACATTTTCTTTTTCTTTGCATTTTTATAACCATATGGTACAAGATTATCCTATTTAAATCAATGTGATAAACAGGTTAGGTCAAAAGTAATCTAAAATTAATCAAAAAGTAGTCTGATTATATTACCTCAATATGTGTAATGTAATGGATTACTTTACGAACTAATATAAAACTGAAGCTGGTAGTGTTTCTGCCAAGCATTTGTTTGTAAACAGTAATTTCATCAATACAGATCTTAATTCAGATTTGGACATGAAGCACAAACAATTCACTTAGTAAAAAGCTTTTTTTCTTTCTCTGTCTCCCTCGCTTTCTTGTGTCTTTCATTGTTTTTGCTTTAGTCTTTGAGCCAAACTTGATTGGATTCCAAAGCAACTTGCCATTTAAGACGTCTCCATTTATTGCTCTGCCTCTTTTTCTCCTCTTGTTTTTTTTCTCCTCCGTCTATCGTTCTTTGAGGGGAGCAAATGAAAGCGAAGGAGGAGGGCTGTCAGTTTCCCAATCTTTAATGGCCCCAGCTGCATCATTACTCTCTCAACACACTCACACACAGGGTCAAACGTACTTAGGTAACAGATGAAGAAACGAGGGAGGCATGAAGGCCACCGAGAGAGACCGAGGGATTCCATCATACTGGGAGGTTCGCGGCACAAAATGACTGAGTAAATGAGTGAACGCAGAAGAATAGCGCCCGATAGACCTCCAGCTCAGCCACGATAAACAATCCCAGAATCCACTGTGAGCCTGCGTGAGGTGACACTGTCTGAAACCCATCGGTACTGATGGTGTTGACAGCCAACGAATACAGAACCGCACGGCCCTCGCCCTGAAAAACAGCCCGGCTAATGCAGCGACGTGTGTGGGATGTGGATCAAAGGACCTGGGGGAAAGAGCGAGCGAGCGAGCAAGCGGAGGAAAGAAAAGAGGAAGGAGAGAATGAAGGAATCAGAGATTTCTCTTTTCGGACTGACAGGATTCGTATTCATCGGAAAGCTTTAGAGGGCGGGGGGGAGAGCTTTTTACAACTAAAAACTAAATCACAACGGTTGCTATTGAGTGCGTGATGAATTTATCGCACAGGTGCTCAGCCTGTTGGTTCGTTAAAGTGCAAATCTAAGAAACATGTTCAGAGATAAATTGTTTTCCTTTATCCAGAATATTGCGAAAAGTCAAATAACACGAATCAAAGTGAGCGCAAACAAAGCGGAACGCTCTTCAAACCGGCTCCAAGACATCAAATACCAAACAAGTGTCTCATTCACACCATCATTATCCTCCGTCATTAAAACCCTGATTAAGACCCTCCGAACTTCATTCAAGTCTCTTTTACTGTCGGACATTCCTGTAAACCAAACAATTCCATCATCGGGCACTTCCCTCTCTCTCTCTATCTTCAAGAAGTTCAAACGCTTCATCTGGGACTTGCCCTCCCTCTAAGCGACACAGATTGCATACAGAAGACATGACGTCGGTTTGGTAATGAGCCCCTTAGCATGAAAATGCATCCCGCTGCGGTCGGCCCAGATTAGCATGAGAGATGATGGAGATTAGTGATGGAAATCCTAAACTCAAACAAACTGATTGTTGAGCTCTTCACATCAGACAAGGCTCGAAACGTGACCTCGGCGATCTCTGACCCCCATCAACCTGTGTTAAAACCGCAGAGGAGAAACGTGAGGAGAAAGCGAATACGAGAGAGCTCTATAGACACTAGTCCCCTGACAGACATCAAAGTGGGACGTGTTGGTCCAGTGCGAGCGGGATAGCGTCTATGAACGTCCAGTGCCTGACAACTTCAGCTTATCTGCAGCTCTTGAGAAACTCTTCTCGCTCTCACACACACACACACACACACACACACACACACACTGGAGAGGGGAGCCATTAACAAACACGCAAACTGTTGAAGAGGCTGATTTACATACCCTTCAAAGCGTGCCGCTACCTTGCCGCCTTCAAAGAGGACAGAGCGTACCCCGAGCTTTTATGCAGAGTGAATAAACGTTTGTAGTTTTATGTCTGAGAAAGTTTGTTGTTGGTGGTTTTTATAGCAAAGTTCTGCCAGCCAAGTTGTGTGTTGGGATTCGATGCCGGGAAAGGGCAAATGTGATCGGTTTTGTGGTAACTGTGCTCATCACAGTAAAAGCTAGAGTGTATGTAAGGTAAGATGATCCTCAGTGTGGTTTCTTCTGTGGAGATGAGGTGTGGAAACCTGTCATGTTTAATAAGCATCACTCTTAAAGTAATTCCTGCAAATACTGACAGAAAACGGCTGATATGTGGCCTGCACAAACTGGCACACCATCTCTTTCACAATGCATCTACTGAAAATGCATTTCTCTGTCTGCCATCTCAAGGGAAATTACTTTGAGTACTTTAGCAAATCCCCCAGAAAATCTGACCCAAAAATGATATTATTTCATATTATATGAAAATATTATTATTTACTAAATATTTCCTTTCTGTAAACATTTTTTGGTCCTTTTTTAAACTTTTAATAATATGATAGCTAATAACAATAACAACAATTATAGTTCATCAATTATAGTTCACAATACTAATAGTAGTAGCAGGGCTCGAAATTAAAATTTTTACTTGGTAGCACTGGTGCTCCCAACTTTAAAAAGTTAGGAGCACCAGCAAAGATTTAGGAGCACCCACCAAAAATTAATGAGCACCACAAATACAAATTATATATTAATATATTTCATCTTTACATTCTTAACTATGCAAAGGGCTGAAGAAGAGAGAAAATTAAACCACCTAAGTTAATCTGAGTTTGGTTAATCACAGAGAGAGAGAGCTCCTCTCTTTGGCGAGGGTTAGGGTGGTGTATGCAGTGTTAAATTTTACATTCAGTGCCAATTGTGTGGAACGGCTGGCAGCTAGGGGTGTGCGATATCGACAAAAAATTATATCTCGATATTTTCTAGGATTTTATTGATGAGGATAATTAAACAATATTTTACTGAGTGTGTTATTGTGCTGATCTTGTGTTATTGTGCTGGTAGTCTTAAGGACTACCATGGACAGCTGACTTTGATATTCTTCATATTCTGTGTGGTGGTCAGTTCACAGCAGTGATAGAAATTAATCTTTTCCAATAAGTTTAAACTGATTTTTACCTTTTATGGTCATTTTTACAATGAAGTCATTTTTTTTTTCTAAAAGTGTGCATCATCATTTGAGTAAAATTCTTACATTTAATCAGTCAATTAGAATAATAAGACATTTGGGCTGTTATCAAGCAAATGAAATCAGTATCAACAAAATTCATCTTTGCAATGCAGAGGAAACACAGAAGCTACATCTGAAGTGGCATTTAGATGCATTTACACACTGCTTAATGCAGGACATGAATGCATTTAACCTGCAGTTACATGCATATAAAACGTTGAATACTGATATTTGAAATTATTTTTAAAAAATGATAATATACTTTAAATGTGAAATTAAAACCGCCAGTAGGTGGCAGCACGTCACTGTTAATAAGTGAGTCATTGTGATTGAACCGAATCATTTAAACGGTTGATTCATTCAGGAACGAAACAGCATCATGTTGCTCAGAGAAGCAAAACAATGCTGTGTCTTTGTTTGGAATTATTTTTGTTGTCGAAATAGAGCAAAAAACAGGCAATATGGTGTCTAAAACGTAAGGCTCTTAATATTAACTTCTTGTTTATTGAACTGTTGTATAAAATCAATATCACATTTGTAATCATGCTGATTTTTGGATGACAAAACGGCACTCTTCGTGTGATATTAACTATATGAAATGATATAAAGCCCCCATATCTTGAATTTTGTGATGCATTTTAATATTTTAGCTATTTGACCACATCCTATGTTGAACACAACCTACTCACACACACACACACACACACACACACACACACACACAGTCCCTCTCCGCATTTCAGCGTGCAGAGACACCACTTAACACTCTTCTCAGACTCACACCTTGCAGGTGGCTTGGATACAAACGCCTCAGGAATTCAGATGAGAACTGACCAATGAGAAGCAAGAAAACATCCTGCTGACTTCATCAGAACCAGAACACAGACCTGAGTCTGGAGCAGCAGTGTTAGAGAGATGGACTCACAGCTGAAGATGGCAGATGCAGGATGCTGGGTGGAGATGGGACAGTGCTCCTCATCACTGTTGTCTCCACAGTGGTTGAGTTGATCACAGACCTGCGAGCCCAGGTTCAGACATCTGCCGTTAGTGCACAGGAATCTGCACTCTAGGGACAAACACAGAAAACCGCAATGACTCGTTTTCAGATAGGCTAATATAATCAATAACAATCAGGGTCAGTCTCTGTTTTCACACCTGCTGCATCAGGGCTTGACATATTTCCATCCTTGGTTTGTTCTGGCACTTGTGAAAGGAAACTTATAACTAGAAAAGCTAAGTGGATTATAAATGCAACTCCCAAATAAGATTACAATACTGTTCAAAAGTTTGGGGTCATTGAGATTTAAGAAATTAATACTTTTTAATACTTAAAATCTATTTAATACTTAAAATCTATTTCAAATAAATGCTGTTCATTTGAACTTTCTAATCATCAAAGTATTATGAAAAAAATGTACCACAGTTTTCAGAAAAATAATAAGCAGTACAACTGTTTTCAACATAAGAAAGTTTCTACAGCACCAAACCGGCATATCAGAATGATTTCTGAAGGATCATAAGACACTGAAGACTGGAGTAATGGCTGCTGAAAATTCAACTTTGCCATCACAGAAATAAATTACATTTTCAAATATATTAAAATAGAAAAGAGTTATTTTAAATTATACAAATATTTTTACAATATTACAATTTTCTGACCGTATTTTTATAAAATAAATGTACTCTTGGATAAGCATAAGAGACTTTCAAAAACATTTAAAAAACAAAACCTAAATTTTTTTACATTGTATTTATAAAAGTTGACAAGTTCTGCCACAATTTTGCTCTGTTTATTAAAAAACTAAACAAAAAAAGCTATGTCAGATCCTGATTTACACCTGGGTCCGTTTCCCCCTCCACCTCCTGATTCTCAGACCCCTAAACTGTCAAACCTGGATGATCCTACTATTTTACATTGTTCCATGAAAAGTCTACATTTGAAAGAACTTCACAACAACTTAACAACTAAAAACATCAGGACGTCCTGTGAGGATCTGAAAATGCTCAGGTGCAGGAGTTTGTGGGATAGTTTCACTGGGCCAAAAACTTGGCAGAGATTTGTGGATCTCAGTCGGCGATGATCCTCTATATGTAGGTCACTGGCTTTTATAAATGATCTTAAAATAAGTCTTCCTGCAAGCATGCTTTTAGAGAAACTCAACATTGACCTGATAACGGTGGATATTCAGCTGTATGGAAGACTCTTCACTATGCAGCATTAACAAAAGACCAGAATGCAATGCAAACCAGACAGTGATGACACTAGCACTATAAACAACTTGACTGTGTTAGGAGGAGGAGCTAGACAATACCAAAGCACACCCATGTGATCTCTCACAAGGTGTGGTGCAGCCCAATGTGATTTTAAAAATGATATGATAATCTTTAGACAAACAAATCAGCAGTTCTTTGCCCTGCTTACACCTTAACATAACACGACACACAATGAGACAATCCAACATTCACCTGCACAAACTCAACAGCACAAAGCAGCAAAAATCAAGAGAGAATAGGAGAGACAAGACACAAGATTAGAAGAGGAGACAAAATAAGAAACAAGAGAGCAAAAGAACAGAAGCAGATGAGACAAGAAAATGGGAAAAAGAGGGAATAGACTAGATGAGAAGAGAGGAGACAAGATGAAAATACATTGGACTAAAGAGGGGAGAAGAAAGGCAAAAAGAGTAGAAAAGGAGAAGATAAGATTAGAAGTAGATGACAAGAAGATGGGAAAAGACGAGAGGAGACGTGATGAGCAAAAAGGAGACAAGAGGAGAGAAGAAGAGACGACAAGAGAAGAAGAGGAGAAAAGAGATTAGTCCAGATGAGATAAGCAATGAAACAAGAACGAGAAGAGAAGGAAGAAAAATAAGTAGATGAGAAAAGGTGAATGGAGACCAGATGAGAAAAATTGAGACAAAAATAAAAAAAATGAAAAGAGACGAAAAAAAGAAGAGAAGATGAGAAGATGCAAGGACAGAGATTAAATGAGAAAATATTTTTAAAGACCAGACAAAAGAGGAGAGAAGAAGAGACAAGACAAAGACTAGAGGAGAGATGAGGAGAGAAGAGACTCAACAATAAGAGAAGAGACAACACAAAACAAGAAGAGAGATGAAAAATAAACAGAGATGAGGCGTGATGAGACAAGAAGAGACGAGACTAAACAAGGCGAGAAGAGACAAAACAAGGAGAGAAGAGATGAGTCGGGATGAAATGAGAAGACAGAAGAGAAGAAAAGAGAAGATAAGAAGTAGATGAGAAATGAGAATAGAATATGAAATTTTTTTTTGAAATAAAAATACCAGACAAGAGAAAAGTAGACGAGAAGAGGAGAGATGAGATGAGAAGAGACGAATCAAGAAGAGAAGAGATAAGATTAAACAAAACATTAAGAAAGAGATGAGAAGATGAGCGGAAACGAGAGAAGATGAGCGGAGAAGAGAAGAGAAGACAAGACAAGACAAGACAAGACAAGACAAGACAAGACAAGACAAGAGAAGAGAAGAGAAGAGAAGAGAAGAGAAGAGAAGAGGATGAAATGAGACGAGGCAAGATGTAACAAGAAGAGGAGATAAGATGAAAGGAGAAGAGATGAGACGAGATGAGACAAGAAAAGAAGTTCAGGGTCATTATATTATGTCAGTAAAGTAGCACATTTCTCCAAGTCCTGTTCTGCTCTCTGTCTGCAGTGCACTAGGCTGTCAAACTGTGGTTTAGTACACAGCCCAGCCTCCACTGCCCTCCACCCATCTCGCACTTTCTCTGCATTCCATTCCAGGCAGGGGAGAGACTCCTCATGAACATAATCTTCACCGCTGGCATGAATCATTAAACTCACGTTCATGCCAACCAATTATCCCGTTTAATTCTAACACTGAGGTTATAAACCTGATCCGGTGCTCACCTGTAAAAGCATTGGTGGCCGGTAGGTCAGCCTCCTGCATACTGCTCCTGCCGCTTGGCCCGTATGTTTGTGTGTGCACCCACGTTATTGGCTCCAATTGCCTGAGGGCTCCTGGGGGCCAAACAGCCACCGTGCTGCCATTCTCACCTCATAAGTCCATGGCTCCTGCTCCAGCCGCTGCCCTCTACCTTCACGAAAGGGCAAATAAACTAAGAAGAAAGGTGGAGGAGGGGCTAAAAAGTATTTAGTGACAGACTAGGGCTCTATTCAGCAGGAATCAGGGCGGGGTTGCCAGGGCAACCAGAGCACTGATTACCCTCCCAGCCAGAGCCAGCCAGCCATAGCTGTGTGTGAGCGAGCGAGGAAAGATCCAGACAGGTACTTGATTCAGAGAAGGTGTTTGATAGCTGATTCAGGAAGGGAATGTGTAGTTGCTGCCGCTCGTCCTGGGTGGATAAACTCTTCTCAGCGTAGCAGTGTGCTAATCAATGCGCCCCACCTCATCCTTCAGACCGCAAGCTCACTGAGAGAGACAGAGAGAAAATCAGTTGAGTGGCTGAAATACATGCAAGCAAAAATGTACTTGCAAAACTCACTTACAAAAGGTTACTATAGTTTCCTCTATGATTTACTACAGCTGCTTTTACTGGAGTAAGTACTATGTGAAATCTTGTTTAGGAATTGACAATGAATCAATTAATGATTCACTGTGTTGATTTGATTCACTTGATTCAATTCAAATGGAGAACAATTCCTGTTCGATACACAATTTGATTTTATTTGAGTAATAATTCTGTTTCAGTATTATTTCAAAATGAATTTTTAAGATTTGTTAAATTCTTCCCCTGAAAATGTTTTCTGCAAATCATCTCATCAACTAAACTAAGATAAAACAGTGCTATTTTACTGTTATATTTGAGACAATAATGGCAATTATTTGAGTACGTTAATTCACCATTAATTTGCTCATATGAAGATGATTTATTTAACATACACTACCATTCAAAAGTTTGGGGTCAGTAAAATATTTTTAATGTTTTTGAAAGTCTCTTATGCTCACCAAGGCTGCATTTATTTGGTCAAAAATACAAATGAAACAGTAATATGGTGGAACATTATTACAATTTAAAATAACTGTTTTCTATTTTAGCACTTTATCAAATGTCATTTATTGCATTTAAAGCTTAATTTTCAGCAGCCATTTTTACAGTCTTCAGTGTCACATGATCCTTCAGAAATCATTCCAATATGCTGATTTTCTTATTATTATTATCATTGTTGTGCTGCTTAATATTTTTGTGGAAACGGTGATACATTATCTTCAGTATTCTTTGATGAATAGATTGTTCAAAAGAAACAAAAATGCTGTTCTTTTGAACTTTCTATTCATCAAAGAATACTGAAAAAAAATTAAACAGCAGTTGAAAATGAAATAGAAATATCTTGTGACATTATAAATGTCTTTACAGTCACTTTTAAATCAAATCAACGCATCCTTGCTTAAAAAAAAGAAAAGAAGGAAAAAAAAGTATTAATATCTTAAAAAAAAAAAAGCAAGTGTACTGACCTCCAATATTCGAACAGTAATAAAACAAAACCAATATCAAAGTACCTTCTAATACTAACTCTGAACAATTGATTTTTTTCTAAGGTAATGAAAACTACTGGTTACCACCATAGTTGTAGTCATCTAAGATCCTGTCTGATCTGGCAGACAAGTTCTGAGGCAGACGTAAAAAACAGACAGACCCGACACAATCATAAAACGGGTGTTTCATTAAGCATAAATTAGAAACAGCAGGGGTTCAACACATCAGCATTTTATGATCTTACGGCAGATCTTTACCAGCAACAAAACATCAAGTTCCTGTGAAGAGATGCACATTAGCATCTACAATCCCCAGCAGGAGTGTCAGCCTTTAATGACTGTTACATAACACACTAGAACACTTTACTGGAAACCAAGTTATCACAAGCCACAGCTAATGTTTCTGTGGCTTAATATCATCGATTTAATGTCTCAAAAAAAAAAAAAAAAGAACAACTCCATTTTAATTTGGAGAAGACTAGAGCAATGGACGAGGCAGGACGTGTCCTCAGACAACCTTTAAAGCCCTCTGACATCCCAGTGGACGCCGCGCTGAGCCCAGACTGCCGAATACACATCGGCTGTGTTACTTAGAAGCACGGCAAGCCCTCACCTCGTCTGACCCCAGCCGCATGCCGCACAGCGAGAGCACGGATCCATCACACAATAAATAATATTCCACACACGTGAAACAGGAGAACGCCATCCAAATCAAACAAAGACTGAGACACACACAGTCAACTGAGGTCGTTTCAGGACACAATTACGGCCACCACAGATAAAACAGATGAACATCTGCCAGATGTTTAGATTTACTTTTCTTCATTGTTATCTTTGTTCTTCCATGTGTCCCTTTCCTAAGTGCTTCTCCTCTCAGAGAGAGTGAACAAACCATGTATCTATGGCTTTGTTCAGACTAAGGATGTGAAAAACACATTTTTAACGATTAATCGAGATTAAATCACAAAGGCGATAAATCGCGATTAGGCAGAATCTGCGATTGTGATGCGTATCTTTCAGTGAAGCACGGTTCTGTGATCTGCAGTAAATCTCCATCTGAAGGCCAGAGGGCTCTCTCGCGCTGAAACTCCAAATACGCCTCACCGAAGAAACCCAGGAAATACCTATAGCCGTTGCTGAATAAACAGATTTAACTGCTTTCATTAATTCAACATGACTAATAAACACACGACTACGACAATAATATGGTTTATCTGAGTTCGTCTTATTATAATTTTTATTATAATAAAGTTTATAATAATGCAATGCTAATCGACATAGCCTTTATCGCTGCTTAGAATACTATGAAATATGTTGTGTGCCTTATTCTGTGTAAGAAGCCACATCATCTCACAGAAGGCTTTATTTCAAACACGACTGACGTTATGAAGTGAGTTTGGAGTAAAAACATGTTATTAAATGTGGTATTTTCATGTGCCTTCAGATGGAGCAGCATTTACTTCAAAGAGCCGTAGTTCAATGACAAGCTACGCAAACAGCTTTCATAATGGCAGAACGATTTCTTCGATTTCATAATCGCACGATTAAATCGTCTGCGATTATGAACGCGATTTTGCGTAGCTTGTCACTGAACTACGGCTCTGTGTAGTAAATGCTGCTCCATCTGAACACGCGTGCTGGAGATTTACTACTAATTACAGAATCGGCTTTACTGACAAGATGCGCATGACAATCACATTCGATTAATCATGCAGCCCTATTCTGACATATACTGACCAAAGTTACAATTCTATTCTATAAATAGAATTTATACATAAATATATAAATTACTATAAAATAAAATGTACCAGAATTAAATATATTGGCATTGCAAACTTAATGGCAATTATTATCTTCTAAATTCTATAATTCAGTAAAGTCATAATTATTTTCATGTTATGACTGCTAATAAACTGCAGATATTAAAATTCAATACTATTTTGTCTAAATAAAGAATAAAGCACTAAAAACTAAAATCTGCCATTTAAATACTACAAGTGAATTTAGAAGTTACAATATTATAATGTACAGCATGAAATTTATATTTATTTTGAGATTTGCTAAAGATTATAATATATTTTATTAAGTTATTAGTGTTTTTAGATAATGGCAAAGGTATATACAATAATCGACAAACAGCGATAGATATAAAAAAATAAATAAAAAAAAAAAGACATAACCGATAAGACACAAATATATTATCAAATATGTGACCCTGAACTACAAAACCAGTCTTAAGTCGCTGGGGTATATTTGTAGTAATAGCCAAAAATACATTGTATGGGTCAAAATTATTGATTTTTCTTTTATGCCAAAAATCATTAGGACATTAAGTAAAGATCATGTTCCATGAAGATATTTTGTAAATTTCCTACTGTAAATGTCAAACTTAATTTTTGATTAGTAATCAAAAATTAGCTAAGAACTTCATTTGGACAACTTTAAAGGCGATTTTATCAATATTTAGATTTTTTTTGCACCCTCAGATTCCAGATTTTCAAATAGTTGTATCTCGGCCAAATATTGACCTATCCTAACAAACATACATCAATGGAAAGCTTATTTATTCAGCTTTCAGATGTATAAATCTTATAAACTTGCAAGAGGTTCATTGGTATTGACATTATGTTAGCCTTGTAAACATGAGTGACTTCAAGAAACACATGTGATTGGTTGACTTGCGTATGCTGAACAGACTTTTCATTATTGTCAGTATTGCCCAGAATTTTAGCATCAGTACAACAAACAAACAAAAACAATAATAATAAATACTAACAAAGTGAACCAGAACACTCCACCTGTAGAGACTCTCTATCCTAATACACACAGTTTGATGAATAGGCTGAACAGCAGCCATGCTGAAAACCACTAAAATGACTGCAATAAACGCCTGCTAAAATATTCTCTGTATCAGTCGGTCTGGGTAATGTGATCTCAGCAGGGGGTCTGTCTCTTTCTCACTCTCGGTGCCTGGTTAAATCATGATGAAGCTCTTAGGAACAACTATTCGCTGAACTGATTCATCCAGTCAGACTCAAACATCATAACTGCCCATGCCATTAATCATTAGTAAAAAAAATGACTAATAGTTGCTACACTGTAAAACCCGACAAGTTAGGTTAACTCAAACCGTTTGAGGAAACCGATTGCCTTAAACCATTTAAGTTTTGAAACCAATACATATGAGTACTGCTAACTTTAAAATATAAGTGCACGACTCAATATTTATGTGTTGATTTATTTTATTTAGTGAATATCACTGTTAGGTTTTACAGTGTACCTTGCCTGTCAGTCTGTCTCAAAAGAAACCCCAAATGGGTGATTAAGACTCCGGTGTGAAACAGTGGAGTTTTATATCAGCCTACATTTGTTTACTTGGCAATAATAACCAGTTGACTGTATATTATCCAACTCATTACACAGCTTTTTACTAGGGGTGCTCCAATCGGGATTTTTGAGGCCGATCACCGATCGCCGATCACAGAAAGCAGTATCTGCCGATACCGATCACCGATACCGATCTTTTTAAAGCTTTCTTTTGACCATTGACAGAAATAGTCAGCTCTACTGCCTTTCCTTTTGCACTGAAATCTTTATTACAAGCAATCTTGCGGTTAATAATGAACTTTGTTTGCCTACCTCCACGAGTGCCATCTATTATCGCCTTGTTTATCTAAAAGTGCTCTTTCCCTTTAAACCTAGCCAAAAAGTCATATGTGTTGACTGTGAAACACAGTAGACTTTAATAATATGCATTTATGGTGTAATTACTACATTTTCGTGTCAATCCATGTTCATATTTACTGCAAACAATGCGCTATTACTTTAATTCAGCGCATGCAGCGGAAACGACTCTCTGCACTGCTGCAGACGCACCGCTCCTGGAAGGCACTGCTGGACTGCAACCGTGTGCAGGCTTTATTAATCTGTTAACA